ATTTGTTGGTATTCGTAATGGTTTATAATTCAAAGGTTTTTCTACTGGCTGATCAAGAAAATAAGATAAATCAACACAACTAAAGTTAAAATAAGAAAGATTGTCATTACTTGGTTCTAATAAGAGGAATACCAATTGTGCAAGAGCAGTTGAGTAAATCTTTTTGTGAGGAAACTGGAAATATAATTCGTTTTGATCAACGTAAAATGTACTAGAAGGATAAGATGGCTGCGAAAGAAAACATTCACCCTGTAGTTGGGTAAAGTACTTTGTTTTTATCAAAGATGGAGGAAGACACGGATGGATGAGAGAAGGAATTGACGTAGTCAGAATAAAACGATAGTCCGTTTGAGAAGAAATTCCATATTTAACAGTAAGGTAAGAAGAAAGAACAAGACCAGGAAAAGTATCCAATAAGTACTGTATATTTTCAGGAACTGCCTGAAAGAAGTTGAGTGCAGTTTGGAAAGGAAAGGGAGATGACAAATAAGAACGTAATAATTGATCAAGTAAAGGAGAACAACGTGCCAATGAAGAAGAAGTAGTAGAGAGAAATTCATGCACAGAGGGAATTGAAAAAGGAATGAACAACAAGAATGGGACTGATGAGATATCTTTTTGAAAAAATGAAGAGACATTATTAAAAGGGACTTCACGGTGAAGAGAAGGAATAACTGGATCAGTCACAATGGTTGTACGAGGAAAGAGAAAGTCAATAAAAGAAATTTCGTAACTTTCAGGGTTAATAAATATTGTGTCAGCACTTAAGTTGCCATGGTAAACGCCATTTGAGTGCAGAATCGAAAGAGATTCAATCATTTGTCTAACAATGCTAAGCAAGATTGATTCTGTCATTTTTGATGACTTAAAAAAAGAAGCCAAAGAAAGGGGGGTAGATGGAAGAGAATAGCGAATGACTGGAGTGGGTTGTGTTGAAACTAAGTAAACGTGGTGGACTGGTGTTGAAATGCTATCAATACGATCATATCTATCTTTGCTAAAGAAAGCTATTTTTGAAAAGTAGTAATAACAATGGTCGATGGTATTGTAGTAGATATTATCATTAGAAAAAGGGATATATGTTTTAGGGATATCCATTAGTTCATCTTTATAATTAAAAATTTTAGAGTTCCAAAAGTGAAAAAGATAATAAAATTGGGATATAAAACAGATAAAAGAAAACAGAAAAGATTCTTCATTCTAATTTAAATTTAAATGAATTGGGATAAGAAAGAAGTAGAAACAATGAAAAAATGAAGAAAAGAAGTTGAAAAGAGGTGCAGAAAAAAAAAGAAAAGAATCTTAAAGAATCTATTTAATGAATAATGATCAAGTGTGAACATAAAATCAAGAAAAAGAAGAAAAAAGAAAAAAACCACAACCAATGAGAAAAAAGAAGAAAAGATAAAAATAGAGAAAGGAAAAAATAAATAGAGATCGGAACTAGAGAAAAGA